CATTGTGTGATGTTTCGGCTACTCCTTCACGCTCCCGGAAGAGTTCTGTTGCTTCCAAGCCGTCTCGAGTGACGAGGATCAAGCTGCTCAAGAGCTTGCGTCGGACCGTGTTTGGTCCGAATGCTGAGGTGAAGCGAGCTCCGAAGCGCTCTACGAAGAAGCGCAAGGCGGAGAGTGTGAAAGAAGAGGATGAGGTGTCGGATGGAGTACCTCCACGTCCAAAAGCCAAGGCGAAAGCCAAGGTGAAGAGCAAGGCAATGCCGCGTCCTCGCGGCACAGTGCGTGGCTTCTTCAATGCTCGTCGTGGACGAAGGGTGGAGGTCCCCTTGCGTGGCCCCAATGAGGCGCCCAAGCCAAGGATGATTCGAGCCTTTAGTGGCTTTAGCTTCCGACCAGTTCATCACTTGAAGTGCCGAATCTGCGGCAATGTTGGCCATGTGGCCGCCTCGTGCATCCAGGGACAACGTTCAGTGAGCTTGACTACTGACTACTGGAAAGATCCAACTGAGTCAACGGATCGATCCAAAGAGTGATGAAGATCTTCTGGGCGATGCATTGCCCAACTACGGGTTAGAGAACCCATTGAGCTCACAGATCAGCCCTTGCGACAGTGTGTCGCAAGTTGGCTACAGCCCTGTTGCACCCAAGTATGCATTGCCGATCCCAACAACTCCAGGTATGTCAGCAGATGAGAGGTTGAGACTCTTGCTGAAGAAGAGGAAGAGTGAAGAGCCCCAGAGAAGGCATCATGGCTATGAGACATCAGATGAAGTATGGCCTCGAGATGATGGAGAGGAAACCGGTGATCTCAAAGAGGAGCTGCGCAGGAAGCGCAAGAGGTTGGAGATGAAACCCTTCTTCAAGGAGAATCGCGAGCGTCCGAGCTACATGCGACGACTGCCGGAAGATCCTCGAAAGAATAGGCCAAAGCACAGCGAGGCTGCGCCGCCCAAGCGTCCTCCAGTGCCGCCACCGAGGACTCCTCCGAAGGGACTATGCCACCTCCGCCAAAGAAGAAGGCGATGCCAATTGCTCCGAAGACCCCCCCGAAGAAGCCAGCTGAGAAGCCCAAGACTCCTGCGAAGGACGTCTCAAAGGCAGCATCTGCGAGCGAGGCTCCAAAGGCAGCATCTGCGAGCGAGGCTCCAAAGGCAGCAGAACATGTTCCTAAGGCAGTTGGGAAAGAGCCTCCCAAGACCCCTCCAAAGATGGCTCCAAAGACTCCGAGTGCAGCCGATCGATCAGTTAGCCCAACTCTGGTCGATGCCGCCGCAGCTCCGGCAGGGCCGAAGCCAAGTGGGGTAGATCGAGCAAAGGATTCGTCGCCCACGAGGCCTCCTGAGGGATTGCCGGAACAGGTACCAATGCCATGCCCACTACGCCTTCGGAAGCCTTTCGAGCAGCCCGTGATGATGAGCCAGCAAAAGCTTCTTCATTGGCAGCAACTTCTCCTGCACAGAGTGTTGTGGGACATGGATCGCCCAAGGCAAGTCCAAAGCCGCCTCCACCGCCACTGGATAGCCCCCCTGCAGCTCATCAGGAACCACCGCCTCCTCCGACTGAGATCGGATTTCCTGTGACGGGACCGGCGGAGTTGCCCAAGTCTCCCATTGTGGCGCCTGTTTTGCCGAAGTCTTCACCGGCAAGACCGCTCATTGACTGGGGAGCACCAGTATCAGCAGAATCGCCGATCGGTTTGACCAGCGATATTACAAGGATCATGGGAATGGGATCCCAGCACACTTCGACACCAATGGGCCATACTGGCAGTTCAGTAGCCAGTTCAGGGACATCCAGGCCAATTCAGTGCTGCATCGCATGCCATGGTACTGGAGTGTTGACAGCTGAGCAGAATGTGACCATCTTTTCGCTGTTGGCCTCATTGCCCCCACGAAGTGTGATGCTAAGATGTTCAAATGAAACTGTGTCAAGAGTGACTTTTGAGTGTGACTCAGCCGTTTCAGTCATCCGAGAGTCGGATCAACTCAAGCATCCTCGATATACTGTGCTAGAAGTAACTGCGGCAAGGAGTCAGTCATCGCAAGATCTTGTCGAGAAGTTGACTATGTTCGATACATAGGAATCCATGCAAACCTCCAGGAGATCGGAGTGCGCAATAAGGTGCTGACCCTACTCCGTGATGGATTCAGTCGACGCCCGCATGGATCTCAGGTGGCATGTCTCGTGCACATCTCTCTCTTCCTTGCAAAGGCGGATCCCCTCTCTTGAATTTTTTGGGAAGGAATGAGAAGCACGAGAAAGAGTTCTTTTATCTTCTGAAGTCATCTGGAAAGTATCTTGATGAGATCAAGTCATCTGAAGGAGTGTCTGTCACTGTTTCGTTCGAACTGCCAAGAAGCAATCAGCATTGGAAGAGTCGAGATCTTCAGAACTTCTTCGAAAAGCACGGAATGGCATATCAGAGTGAATGTCATGCTTGTTCAATGGGATTGGAAACCCAGAGTGGACTTCGAATTGGCAAAATTTTCAGGATTCAGAGTTCCAACGCGTTTTTGAGTCAACGGTTGAACTCTCGCTTTCAATGTCGATGTATTGAGAAACATGCACCATTCAATGCAGTTGATTACCATGATACTGAAAGGTACTCGATGAAATTTGCTCGTTTTCTTGTGAAGAGTTTCTGCATCTGTGCATCCTTGAGGTGAGAACCCAAGCTGAGCAACCGACTGGCTGAGGGCCTTTGCTTTTGTTGCTGCGCAGATAGCTTGATGATACTTGCGGATGAAGCTTCCGATGATCGATGTGAAAATACGTGTGCATGAGATGCCGCTGGAATTCAATAGCTTTTGAACTGTGACTGTTCACACCTGTTAGACTGTTTACTGTAGAGTCTGTCGAGAGTCGATGAAATTGGATCAGGTTTTTGACAAAGGTACTTCATAAGTCTTGTCTCGGTCGGTGTGACCACCTTACTTCGAGAGACTTGAAACCAGTTGAACAGTGAGACTGTCTTTTTCAGGAAGGAAAGCCGTGCTCGCGTCGAAATGACCCTTGAGTCGCCCCTTCCTTTCTATCTTTTCTTTCCTTTCGGAGAACTTTTCTTCGCCGAACTTTTCCGCAGCCGTTTGTGTGTGTGGGGCGTCTGCGCGGGAAGCCATGTTGTCGTTTGAGGGCAGCTGCATCGCTGCGCTGGCGTTGTATGGCGCGCTGAGCTTGCTTGTAAAGCTTTTTGGCGCTGCTGGGAAAGAGGATGATGGCCGAGAAGCCAGAGAAGCAAGAGCCGCTGATGAGAGAGAGAGTCTCTTTGAATGCTGCTGCTTCTTCAGGTGCTGCTGCTTTGAGCGCTGCTGGCCGGCCGAGTGGTGTTGAGAACACTGCAACCTCCGAGTGGACGAAGATGAATGCAGTGAACAAGGTACTTGAGGTTTTGGTGACTTCGACTGGGTCCAAATTCCACCTTGACCGTCAATGCTAATACTTGCGAGGCAAGAAAGTCACCTCTTTTGGTTTGTGCAGCTGCTGTGAGCGCAAGCGCTTACTGGAACAGCGAGTGACCACTGTCCAAAGTGGCATGTGAGCTTCGAAAGGGGGGTGTGAGAATTCGTAGTACTACAGCACTGAGGAGCGAAGACTCCATACCACTTTTTTAGAGACCGCAAAGAAAGCTTTTTGAGGAGCGGAGACTCCCCATGACTTGTTTGAATGACGTTCGTTACCTTTTGAGGACATTGAAAGATCCCTTTCAATGTTTCCATATGTTTGTAGTTTGTTTATGAGGTGTCCGAGAACACCCGAAGATGTTTGAACTATGCTCTTAGTTGTTTCCAACTGTTTTGAGAACTTTTGTGAAGCGTTGAAGTGTTTTGAGTATGGTTTTGCATGTCCACAAATGTCCCGAGAACATTTGTGAACCTTGGAGAACGTTCGTCACTTTGGCTCAAGTGTGCGGCGAAAAGTGTGCGTGTCTTTTGCCTGCTTTTTCCTCCGTTTTCGATTCGGGTCGTCGAGACACTTGACTGACTAGGTGTTTTGAGCACGAGAGCTTTTGATTTTTCGTCAAGAGTTTGTGTGTCAAACTTTCACGCCTTGTGAACCTACTTTGTTGGGATGCAACTTCTCTCATGTATGTGCGGGGAGTCTCTAGATTAAAGGCTCAAGTTTAAAGTGGCGACACTTATCTCCTTCTGATTGGTGTTGGAGATTCTTGTTTGATCCTAGACGAGTCCTCAGAGCTTTGTGGACGTTCAGCTCAACAGTCAAAGACTCTTGTTTACTTTTTTTGGCTGCGTTGACTCTTTTGGAAAGCCGAGTGCCGTCAAGAGCGGGGCTGTGAAAAGGTCAGCTGCGGCATCTGTGTGTTTTCCCATGTGCATGACTGACACATACTTGGCTCAAACCCATGGTGCTTGGTCCAGCTTCGCGAAATCCATCCAGTGGTGCGGGACACTCGTAAAGTGACAGCCCATTCCATTCGACTGCCCATCAACACTGGTAGCATATTTGTACCAGTGAAGTGGGCTTGGCTCAAACCCATGGAAAACAACCTGCACTTGTCATAGCGTCCGTGTCTCTCAGACAGTGTTCTTTCCAAGGGAATCCTACTGCAATTGCACTTTTGCTTGGGAGAACGCTGCTAAGGTTTTTAATTCGTTTATTGTTGGAGGCTCGAGCTGGGTTTGATGAAAGGTAGGCTGCATCTTAGGTGTGTGGCTGCGTGACCATGGGAACATCAATTGACACTTGTACTCACCGCGCCGTTGACTGGGGCCTGGATGAATCAACAAAGCAGAGTCAACATGCATCAAGTACGCAGGACGTGGACAATTTGATTGGACCTTGCTCTTTCACCCGTCATGATTGGGTCTGTGTTTCGCACCTCTCTCAATAGTGGTTTAGAATAGAAACAATTTGGACACATTGTCAAACTAAAGGTCCCAGACCAAACACGGCGGAAAGTACAGCCAAAAGCAGTTCAAGGGTTCTTTCAATCAATTCAACGCAAACTGCCGTGTTGATCATTTCTTGTGTTGGGTTTGTGGATGGATGCAGATGATCAGCAGGTGCGACGCGACGTCAAAGGAGCGCGTCACCGCTGGGTGGTTTGGCCGAAGCTTCAGCTCGTTTGATGCCTCCCAAGCAAAGCTGTGTAAACACGGGTGGATGCCCAGACTACTGGGGAAAACAAGTGAATCGATACGGGTTCCGATTGGTTGTGACCACCATTTCAAGGACTAAAAGCAGTTGCTGTGTTTTGCTACAATTAAGTTTTGTCTAATTTGCATGCTTGTTCACGATGGTGTGCACAAAGCCTAAAAACACACAATGTGAGGCGCCCGTGACATTGGAGTTGCCGGGATGCCCAGGAGGTGTTTGTCGGGGTCTTCGTTTGGGTTGTCGGAGATGTTGGAGTAGTGGTGTGTTGTTGTGCAATGGAAGAAACAACGCACAAGTAATTATAACATTGTACTGGTAGTGTTGGAATAAGCAAACTGGTGCAGAGATGGAGGAGGGAAAAACATTGACCAGTCAAATTCCAATATGTTTTGATGAACTCAATTGGCACATCCAAACTCGTTTCTTCTTGGACAAAACAGGATCAACAGTTGGAAACCATATCAGCAGCGATTAGTTGAACATGTCATGAAGAAGTCTATGGTTCTCGGATCAGGTTTTTGGGACCAGAATGGAATTTTCTTTTAATCATGATTGGTCATACTTGATCAATTTGTGCCTTAATTTGGTGTTGGATGCTTTGCTGCACAAGTGCACTCCACCGCTGACTGTTGACAGTGTTTCCTATCCGCTGCCTAATGCAATCCGACGCCTGATGGCAATCCGACGCTTGTCGTCCCGCTGTCCAGGACGAGATTGAAGCTCATGCATTGCTAGCAGTCTTCACTCTCGAAAGGTTCAGCACACCATCTCTGAAAAAACCTGTAAACTTCTGCTCACCCATGGTCTCTGGACCGTTTGGGCGAACTCCGGACTCAAGTCGCACACCTTAAACCCCTCTGTGGGTTTTGGGTTTTGGGAAAGACGTATTTTACAAGCATTTACAAGCTTTGATAGGAATTTTCAAGACCAATTGAAAACTGATTACTTACACAAAAAAAACGATTCCCTCTTGGTTTGAATTGGATCCCTTTTTGCTTTCCGTAAATCTACAAGGGTCAGTCCACAGAAATCCAGTTGAATTTCTCCAAGAACAGATGTCTCGGTCGAGTAGTCTATAGTTTTCTATGACGCCAACAGGATGGCAGTAGAAACTGTGAAAACTTTTAGATGGCGTGAAGCCTACAGATTTTCGCCGTCGCAATGCTTTAAGTTCTATGTAGCTCTTCTGCATCAATCAGAGGACTTTTCGAGACAGAATTCACCCGGCAGAATCATTAGACAACTCAACCCCTGCTGCTTGCACAGGTCCAAAGTTGATTCAGGAACTTAAGGCCTCGGGCAACTGTTTGTGATCGTTTTGGTGAACAAAGAAGGTCATAGGATGTCATAGGTGGTTTGACCTGAACCACCTGGAGAATGGGCCTTGTCGTGGGGCCTGTCGACGTCTCAACGCCTGAGGTTTGGTCGGGTCGAGGAAAATCCCGATCCTGTGGAGTGAATTGGTATTTCGCATGCTGAGTATTAGATTGTGGAGCATACTGTTCTTGATGTGGAGTGCCAAGTTTTTGCACGTTCACTTCCGGGTTTTCACGAGCTTTTTGTGCCACAACATGCGGGTAAGATTCCCTCACGGTGAACGGTTGTCCTAGGATTAGGAAGCGCTTTTTGGCAGGATTGATATAAGCTTGAAAAGTATTGAAAGGTAGATGGCCTTGGAGCCTTTCTTTGGCTTCAAATGAAGCATCCCTTAGGTCTGATGGGAGATTGGAGAGGCTCTGTGGGTTTTGAACATGGCTTTCGCACAACTGAAAGTCTTGCAGTGTGTGTGGTCGGCGGAGTGGTGTCAAACTCGATGCGTCGATGAAATGGTCAGACTGCGACGGTGGTGTTGATGTGAAAGCCGCGCCGTCAATGCACCGCAGTCGATGTTGTTAGAGCTTTGAGAAAGTTTCTACACACCCACACAGCACGGCTTGATAGACATGACTTCGCTCGTGGACATGGCTGATCGTGATAAGCAGATGGTTTTACCAGTTACACTCCGGTCACATCCCGAAGTGGACAGGTGGTCATCACCACCTGTTTGGGTCTACGGATTTCCTGCTCTTCCAACAGGTGTGTCTTTGAAATCCGGGAGACCCGGGAGACGTGGAGATTGGTTGTTTCTGGCGTCGACTGGCTCCCCCGGAATAAGACGCTCCAATGGTTGTGGAGCTTTCACGAGAAGACCTCTCAGGCGTGGGCGTGAACTGACCCCTGACCGGTTCGGGGCCCAACCGATTTCTTGCAACGCCGAACCGGTTCCGGGGCCGACCGGTGTCGGGGGATCTCCGGGGCCGACCGGCCCAGGCCGTTCGCCACTTCGGATGAGTCGGCCCCTCCTGTCGTCCTCGCGCCAGTGCAGGTCCCGCAGGGTCCAGGCCGTCCCGCAGGTGGACCGGTCGCGGGGCGAAGAGGTCGCGGCGAAGTCGAGGGGATCCTGTGAAGTGGTGGGTTTGGTGGCTGGAAGGGTCAGGTCTGGTTTTTTGAGATGCAAAAAGGTGCTTTTGGGGCAGAAGGAAGGCTCAGGGTTCCACATCACCAGAGAAAGGTCTAGCAAGAGGTGATATTTCTGGGCACGGGTTGAAACTAGGAGGTGTCCCAGTAAAACTGTATAGCCATTGGTAAAGAGTATCCTGATTTTTTGAGAAAGGCCTTTGCTGACCGTCATCATCCACAGGGTCCTTGCAATGGGATATACTATGATACCCAAGTTGAAACAACACAATCTTATCGTTGACGGTGAGCGGGATACCAGCGACCAAAAGGTCCGGGGTGGTTGGTTGCGGATTGCCGATGGCCTCTCCACTCCGATCCAGATCCAACAACGACATGAGAAGTCTTGGAGTTGGATGACCAACTCCACTCAAATGAGATCAGTTCACTGACCTGTCGGAAACCTTTGGGCCTTGGTCCAAATAGTTTTTGGAGGTCCAGGACTCAAGCAAACGAGAAGTGTCTCGATGCAACAAACTGCTAGGCGACCGTGTTTCTAACACTGCTATTGAAGGGACTAGTCTTGGCTTTTAAGGGACATTGATGAATCGCTTGTTCATCTTTTTTGTGTTTTGTTTTCTTGAAGTTTGTATAGATAGATCCTTTTGTGCGATCTATATTTTTGTTCGACTGGTGAGGCCTTTGAAACCTGGAGGCACCGGAGACGGGAGTTGAGATTTTCTGGGGAGATGAGGGGAGTCGGGAAGAAGGTCGGACGGTTTCCCCCTTTTTTTTGGGTGAGGGGAGCCTCTTTCCTCCCATTTTTGTTATCATCATTTTTGATCGGTTCGTTTTCTTTTCTGACCCTGGTTTCCTTTCATTTTTTGTTCCCGTCTTGAATCAAAACACGGACGAGGGCTGACCTGCGATGCCCCGTGCGACGGGGAGCACGTTTTCGGTTTAGAAGGAGGCATTTGCATGCATGCTTTTGTTGGAGCCTCTTTGCTAGGTGCTCGTTAATTCACGTTCTACATCACATCCACTTCGGTTTTTGAGCGGTGCTTTCTTCGTGGAGAGCAACCTGGGTTTCCCCAGTCCCAACCAGGAACATGTCTGGATGTTTCTCCAGTCCCAGCCACCTCTTATGTAACGGATCTCCAGCTGGCGCCAGAACAGCCATTGGTTGATGGTCCGGACCGTCTGGACGCGGGGTTTCGAAGCGTTCCGAGCTTCCTCGGCTTCGAGCCACCCCAAACAAACGGCGAGTTACGGGCGGGCCTGGGCTTTTCGCCGGCCTCCACGTTCCGTTGACCTACTGGGACGAGTGAAAAGCCTGGTTTTCACCACGGTGGGGGAAACTGCTGTGGAGCCGCAAAAAGAACCTCATAATTCTCACCAGCAACATGAGCTGTCCGCCCTGAAGACCTCAGGTTGGACTTCTACGCTGGAGGGCATGGGGCAGCCGGGCTCCCCAGCGGCGTGTAGACAGAGCACCTGAGACCTCGGACCTCAACCCCTCCAAAAAGCCTTCCTGAAAAACCTTCTCCAAAAGCCAACATCCCACATCTTCCAAGCCTCCAATTCCAAGCCACCCCCCCCGCAGTCTGCGGGGGCATTTGTTCTCCCACACTGCGCAGTGCGGCACAGCAGCGTGACACCAAGATCGGTCTTTTCCAGGTGACCAACCACCCATGCCCTCATCCTTCAGCTCCACCGACTCGTGGTCTCCCAAAGCCCCGATCCCACTCCGGTTCGCGGGGGGACTCTGGTTTCCCGGAAGGTGCACGTCTCCGAGTTTGCGGACTGCCGTGTTCTAGGCCTGGGACGACTGGGACAACTGGGACGACTGGGATTGTCGGGGGGGGGTTCTGGAGTTGGCGATGGCGCGATGGGGGCAGTGGCGGAGAGTGGGATGAAGAAGGGCTGCTGAGGCTGAGATGGAGCATCTCTTCCCCTAAGGCGTAGCGAAGGGTTCCCATTCATAGTCTGGGGGTCTGGGGGCTGGACCACGCTGGACATGTGTTTGCGTCGTGTGTGTCTCTCGTGTCGTCGTCGCCTCGTCATCGTCGGGTCGTGAATTCCCTGACATTGCGGGAAGCTTTTGGAGGAGATTTTGGATGGAAGCATGACTTGTCAGATTCGGGCGTGAGTCCGTGCCATTGTCAGAAGGAAAGTTTGCTGGTGTAAGTGCGGCATGTCGCTGGCGAGCAGGATCGGGTTTGCACTTTCTGTTTTCCATTTTTCTTCTGGATTGGAAGCATCATTGGCGGTGCCCAGGATGCTTGGTATTACAGGGTTGTATCTATATAGTCTGTGGCAAGCCATGTGGTTGCGTGACGTGTGCAATGTTGCTGTGCCATGCGGTTTTTCGCGGCCGTGAGTCCGTGATAGTGGAGGGCCTGGTGTGAACGGGGCGCGGGGAGCGGGGAGCGGGATGGGTGGGGCCCACAGGGCCTTGTGTTGCATTGTTGCATCTAGTCTGTGACGCGCCACAAGAGTGTGGCACGAGAGTATCCCACAAGAGTGTTCCACAAGGGTGTCTTACAAGCGCATCCCACAATGAGTGTCAAACAATGCCATTTACATTCGAATGCATGTGTGCATTCGGATTCGTGGGTTCCATCTTGTATTCTTTTCAGTGTGGGTTCTGGAGGGCTCTTGTAGATGAGAAGTCGTGGTTTGCTTTGGCATTGGTGTCCGAACAAGAACCGGGTGTTAGCAGTATGCCCATGGCATGTTATTGAATTGGCATGTGCAGTGATCGCCGAGTGCATCGCGTGCAAGGTGAAGCCCAGGATGCTTATCTTCGACCGGCCAACAAGAGGCTGAAGTGCACGCTGTTTGGTGTTGAGGAAGATGAGAGGAAGTGCACGACGAAAAGAATCCTTCGATGGAACGAATCCACCCTTGCGATGACATTCAAGAACTGATGGGTGGGCTATGCTGGTTTCTGTTTCTTGATCAACTGTTGCACCAAGGAATTCAATAGAACAATGACAACAAAACACAAATACATACAAATACACAATTGCACGGAACTTTTTCAACTCGGTTTTGGGCTGGAGATGAGTAAGGCCCGCTCTGGCTGGCTAAAATGATGCCACACAAAACCTTCTCGTGGACAGGCGGAAATTGGTTTTGAATCCTGAATTTTGAGTCCTGAAGTGCTTCAGCAAGCAGCTGAGCCCAACGGACCGAAGATCACCGAAGGTACTGAACCCAAACCATCTCGGCCCCTTTCTTCTCCCCGTTTTCTGGGCCCTAGGGATCTGGGACACCGATGCAACTACTGCGGGCGGGCCCAGGAACGAGCTCGTCCCCGGGCGAAGCGGGTCCGCCAGGGGAAGAGGAGGTCTCCGTCTGTAGCAACGTCCTCCCAGATGGGTGTTTCCTGGTGAATGAACCGGTGCCCAAGCGGTTCCTTACCGTTCCTGCAAAGTGGTGCGAGAATTGATGGGGGCATCAGCTGGATAGCTGGATGACAGCGGCATTGCTGGACCTTCTTCCCAAAATGCAAATGCCATACCCTTTGCAACCATGGTGCAGTTGGGTCGGGTTAGGTTGAACCTTCCGGCTTGTCCTTCTCCAAAAGGCTTCGCAGTCGATGGCTCTTGAGACTTTCCACAGCAGGCTGGAGGTCTCCATGGCGACCCATCACGAGGCTTTCCAGGTCTTTGACGACGGGCACCCCCATTGAGGACGTGGCACTCCAAGCGAAGCGACGCATCTCGTGGCACTCCAAGCAAAGCGTGTCGAAGTTTCTCCACGGCCCCCCCGAAGCTCCCGACGCTCGTTCTTCCCCACCTCGCAGCAGACACCGCGCCCGGGCGGTCTCTCCCGGCTGCTGGACACCGGGGCGGTTGGGCGCGCGCGCCATGCTGGACCTGTGCCACCGAGGCAAGCGTCCGTTCAGCCTCTTGGGCCTGGACTTGGTGGCGGAGCGTCGTGGAGTGGCCGGGCCCACGCAGAGGCTGCGGAGGAGATGTGGCGCGGGTGCGGGGGGGAAGGGATTCCTGTGGATCGTGCGAAGGGTTCTGGTACTTGGGGGAGGGCCTGGGAAGGCTTTGTGGAGGGCATGGTGGTGCATGGAAGCACCTTTAGCCGAATGACACGGACTTGATCGAACTCTCAGAAGAATCTCATAGGAGGTCCTTGGCTGCAACACATGACATGGTCCAGTGGTTGCCACGCAGCACTTGGGATGATCTCATTGCTGTTCTTCCTCATGCCTTGCTGTTCTAGGCATGTTCCACCATGCCGACCCACTGCGATGAGCCCCGATGAGCCCCGAACCGCCAGGTTTCATCCTGAATGTTGGGACGCGCGCGTCGATCAACGCAGGTTCGACCGGGCGAGTCGACCGAGGGACGTCGATTGAACGCCGCCTCAAAGGGGGTTTTGGACACCAAACCATTTGTTGCAGGCTCCTTTTTCGCTAGAACTTACTCTGAGAGCCCTGAGGAAAGAACATAGACCGGTCTTCGTCCAAGCACTGACATGGTCAGCTGGTTTGACCAGTACTGGCCCGCCATTGGGCCATCCTAGCCATCAGCAAGTGGGACTCAACCTGTCATCAGTCTAGACACTTTGCCGGATGTATGGGAAGAAGTCTTGGAGGAAGTCCTCTGGATGTTGCGGTTGACCCGTGAACATGAACAGAATAGAATAGACTACTGAGACTTACTAAAGAGGCCAGAAGCTCTGGACTCACAGCTTTCAAACAGATCCCGCATACGAGATCACTCTTCCTTTCCGCGTAGACCATGAGATGCGGCCCTGTTTTCTGTGCCTCAGGCTTCTCTTCCGTGGTCGAAGCCGGCGGAATGTGGATGAACCAGGAGACGTCGTCCAGGGATTTTGGTAGTTGCGTCGTTGTTTGATCCGATTTCTTCGGAGGCCTTGTTTGCATTCCTTTTTTTGTGGAAATGTTCCGGGAAGTGGAACATGGCCCCATCTTTTTTCGGATGACCATGAACTCCGGATCCCTCAACAGCTGGTGAGCTCCACTTCCAGACCTCATGAAATACTGGAGATGGTCATACCAAAAACCAATACTGTACTTATATAAGGAGGCAACAAGACCAGCTTTACTGGGTCAGACTGGACGTAGGGCTATGTCATGTTCATGTTTGCTTCTTGGGGAACCTGAGGATTGGAGGACAAGTACTTTCACGACCCGTTGGATCGATCGCTGTGTCCATCAGCTTTTGAGATCTTTTGAGAGGTACATGAGGTGCCATTTGGGTCATAGTTCCATGTGGAGACCCCTTCAACCCGGTAGTGCCGTTTTCTGCAGCCAAACCGAAGACTTTCGGTTCCCAGCGATGTGCCTTCGCTCTGCGCTGGGACCTGCATGAGGCTCAGCGGACCAGCTCTCTCTCTCTCTCTCTCGAGCTAAAAGCCCACCGTTCTGGAGAACTTGCTCTCCCCAAAGCCCCAAGTTCTTCGTTTTGTGTGGAGTCTATAGTCAAAAACCAGTAGTAGGCAGAAAAGGTCCCCCAGCAAAAGTTTAGCAGATGGGTTGCCAGACAGCCATACCGCAAGCAAAATCTCATGTTGGTACTGCTTACTGCACCTGCTTTTGTTGAACATCGCATATCTTATAATTCTGCTAACTACCCCTGATGTGTACTGCACAATTTCCAGAGCACAGCAGTTCATCAGATCTTTTCCTTTTTTGTTTCTGTCTGTCACTCTGTCTTCAAATGCTCGTGCACCTAAATTCCTGGGAGGGATGGTGCAAATGAACAGCTGACAGCAACTATTCTCAGTGGAAACCCGTATGATTCCGTATGATCGTGAATGATCTTCGGTTTTTACCTTTGCCCTACCCGCGGACTTCATCAACAGCAGAGAGCTGAACCAGTCCGCACACCGCTGGCCGGGTGTGGGGCGCGTGCGAGGGTGCTTGGCATACACCTTGCACAAAGCAAGCAAGGGAAACTTGCACAAGCATCGTTACCCTTGAGGCCAACGCATCTTGGAAAGATGTATGACAGTGAGACCATGCGCTAACGTGCTCACTGGGGGTGCCCACTTTGTGGCTGGCACGCTGTTAGGGGAGGCCAATCCTGAGTTCCATCTCTCACACATCACCACCTTGTAACCCTCACTGGGGTGACCAATCACCGGGTTGGTATTCTTGTGCTGACCGGCTGCCCTCACAATGCAAGGCTGGACATCCCCGAAGAAGAGGCAAGACAGGCCTCATCATCAAAAGGACCTTTCGTTTTGGTGACTTGAACATGTTTTGAGAAAGGACATGCTGCTTGAGATGAGCAAATGAGCAGCACAAAGACATGCTCTAAAAGTTATCATCTCCAGGCTGCGAACCATGCATCATCAGAAATTGCACATCATTTACTGTGACAGACTTGACATAGATAGCTTTTACATGCATTCAAAGAAGTACGACGGACTTCAACTGTTGTTTTGTAATGAGCCATGTCGGGCAACGGTCAGTGTCCTTGTCGAACAGGTTACTTGCTATAACTAGCTCCCATTGCTTTGTGGGTAATCGGTTTCAGGATGGGTGTCCGCAACTCAGGTGGCGGACTTAGCTGACTCACGTTGGGATGTTGTCCATAGCGATGGTTTGGAAAGCCTCCACTCCGGCAAAACGAGAAAATTTTGCACAGCTTCATGTTTATACTCACGACATACCGTGCCATACCTGCACGAACACGACAAGCGAAGCGGCCTCAGGACCGCCCCTGCCACCCAACGCTGCGGGACTGCACCAAACACGAAAGCACCGTTGCCTCCAACCGTGCCGCAAGTCCAAGCTTGCGAGTCCAGGGAAGCAAGTCCACATACGAGCCTCCGAGGTGAATGAATCTGCTGAGAACAAGCGCCCTGCCTTCTCTTTTTCGACTTCTTTTTCTTTGATTCGATCCCTGCTGGTGACGCGAGCGCAAGCTGTGTAGATCCAGTTCTATTCCCAGAACTGGCTGGTCCAGAGTCGATGGTTTTTGTGCCTTCCTTTTGTGTTGAGTCTTTTGATGTTCAATGCGGAAACACGTATGATCGTACTTGATCTTCGGTTTTTACCTTTGCCCTACCCGCGGACTTCATCAACAGCAGAGAGCTGAACCAGTCCGCACACCGCTGGCCGGGTGTGGGGCGCGTGCGAGGGTGCTTGGCATACACTTTGCACAAAGCAAGCAAGGGAAACTTGCACAAGCATCGTTACCCTTGAGGCCAACGCATCTTGGAAAGATGTATGACAGTGAGACCATGCGCTAACGTGCTCACTGGGGGTGCCCACTTTGTGGCTGGCACGCTGTTAGGGGAGGCCAATCCTGAGTTCCATCTCTCACACATCACCACCTTGTAACCCTCACTGGGGTGACCAATCACCGGGTTGGTATTCTTGTGCTGACCGGCTGCCCTCACAACATCACCATATGCAAGGCTGGACATCCCCGAAGAAGAGGCAAGACAGGCCTCATCATCAAAAGGACCTTTCGTTTTGGTGACTTGAACATGTTTTGAGAAAGGACATGCTGCTTGAGATGAGCAAATAAGCAGCACAAAGACATGCTCTAAAAGTTATCATCTCCAGGCTGCGAACCATGGATCATCAGAAATTGCACATCATTTACTGTGACAGACTTGACATAGATAGCTTTTACATGCATTCAAAGAAGTACGACGGACTTCAACTGTTGTTTTGTAATGAGCCATGTCGGGCAACGGTCAGTGTCCTTGTCGAACAGGTTACTTGCTATAACTAGCCCCCATTGCTTTGTGGGTAATCGGTTTCAGGAAGTGGGTGTCCGCAACTCAGGTGGCGGACTTAGCTGACTCACGTTGGGATGTTGTCCATAGCGATGGTTTGGAAAGCCTCCACTCTGGCAAAACGAGAACATTTTGCACAGCTTCATGTTTATACTCACGACATACCGTGCCATACCTGCACGAACACGACAAGCGAAGCCTCAGGACCGCCCCTGCCACCCAACGCTGCGGGACTGCACCAAACACGAAAGCACCGTTGCCTCCAACCGTGCCGCAAGTCCAAGCTCGCGAGTCCAGGGAAGCAAGTCCACATACGAGCCTCCGAGGTGAATGAATCTGCTGAGAACAAGCGCCCTGCCTTCTCTTTTTCGACTTCTTTTTCTTTGATTCGATCCCTGCTGGCGACGCGAGCGCAAGCTGTGTAGATCCAGTTCTATTCCCAGAACTGGCTGGTCCAGAGTCGATGGTTTTTGTGCCTCCTTTTTGTGTGGAGTCTTTTGATGTTCAATGCGGAAACACGTATGATCGTACTTGCTCTTCGGTTTTTACCTTTGCCCTACCCGCGGACTTCATCAACAGCAGAGAGCTGAACCAGTCCGCACACCGCTGGCCGGGTGTGGGGCGCGTGCGAGGGTGCTTGGCATACACCTTGCACAAAGCAAGCAAGGGAAACTTGCACAAGCATCGTTACCCTTGAGGCCAACGCATCTTGGAAAGATGTATGACAGTGAGACCATGCGCTAACGTGCTCACTGGGGGTGCCCACTTTGTGGCTGGCACGCTGTTAGGGGAGGCCAATCCTGAGTTCCATCTCTCACACATCACCACCTTGTAACCCTCACTGGGGTGACCAATCACCTGGGTGGTATTCTTGTGCTGACCGGCTGCCCTCACAACATCAGCCTGACACAGGTTTCTAGCCGCTGGACGTGCCTGAAGAAACCTGCCCCGTTTTTACTTCACCCAGACGCTCCAAACAGCCCTTGGTCCGTCAAAACCTAGGAAATGGAGCCCCAGACCCCTCCAGAGGATTCGGGTCCAGGGTCGCGTCTTGGCAGGGCCAAACGTATTTTCTTCGCCGCGAGGCTGAGCCCGTTCGCCGAACTGCTGCTTTTAGCTCGGCCTTTGAGCTCGGGCTTTTCGCCGAACTACTGGCGATGCAGGAACATGAAGTCGCCGCTGGGTTTGAGATGCACACGACTTGGCGAAGCGTGGAAGATCAAATGCTCAGTCACTAAGTGTATTTTTGGATGTATATCATGAACGTGATGTGCCTTTTTATATAGAAATTGATGTTGATGGGGCAGTTGGTTCTCCTAGTTTTTACCAGAGTTGTGAGACGGTCGAGAAGACCAGCACCCCCCTGCTATTTCGCGGTTGGGTGAGTCGACGTTCGCTGCCCCACTGAGTCGGACCCCGTCCACGGGCTCAGTCGCTTCGCGTCTTCTCAGTCGTGTCTTCCCCTGGCCCTGGCCATCTGGCCCGAGCAGACTGGTCACACGATTGTTCAGGGGCGGGTGATCGGAACTTGGTGACCGGAGGGAGGGTTCTGTTCGGCACCCACCTTTGGCACCCCGTGCGGGGCGTGCGGCGACCCGCAGCCGTCGCGGCATGCGACAACGGCACCACTGCAGCACTGCAGTGGGCGGACGCCGACGAGCCGACGAGCCGACGAGCTGCCGCGCTGCCATTCGTCCTTGTCGGGAAACGCTCCAGGCTTCAAGCTGAGGCAGTCGAAGAGCTCAAGCGCCTGGTGGGTCGTTTGGTGTATAGCGGAGGCGCGGTGGGCGGTTGGCACCTGAAAGTGGACAGGACATCAACAAAGCCGCCTCCCAACAGGACAGTTCAAAGGATCGGAGATTCTGTTTCAGTTTCGCCCGTTTCGCAAGTCGTTCTTTTTCCATGATTTCCGCCAAAGCTACACTGAGCTACATGTGGGGAGTTCTGGTGTCGAAATACATGGCATGAAGAGGAACTGTTCCTATTTTTGGACTACCTCAAAAAAGGAACAAAAGAACACGCCCTGACTTTGCAAGGCTGTGCTTCACATTGTTCGTGGAGATTTTCTGGTGAAGGGAACCAGGGAACTCGACAATTGATGCGGCCTCTTGAAAGGTGCCCCTGCCATTGCCTATGAGGGCAGCAAGTACACTCTCCTCTACCGGGATGCTCAGAAGCATTAGGTCCAAGCGAACTCGAGGGAAGATGGGACCTTGATAAAGGCCAGAATCTTGCCATGTTCGTGTTCTTGGGTTTAGCCATGCTCAGCATTCAGCATGGCTAAGGAATTTGAACACTTTCTCGGTGTTCCAGAATCCTTGCGGCTGCAAGCTGAGTGACTTTGGGTTAGTAGTGACTGTCCAAAGAGGTGGCCCTCCAAAAGTTGGGGGTTACGACCCTCACCTTTCGAAAACACCAACAGCGTCATCGCAACGACCCTCACCTTTCGAAAACTGTTTGACGCAATTGAACCCTCGTACGCATTGCATAGTCTTGCCATGGGCCCGGCTCCATTCAGCCTGGTTCGGTGGTGATTGAACTGCAGCATTGCAAGGACTGCTGGTACCTTTACCTTCATTGCGCCTGAAATGCTGTTAGCCCGGAACCTCTGCGCATCTATGGGCATGGGCTTGAACATTCTATTGGAATTGCCCGCGCATGCCGAGCTTGATAACTGAGGCGATACAAAGAGAATTTCGGGCTTCGAATCGCAAGCCGCAATGTGACCAATCGTTGTCTCTGACGCCACTCCGCCGGCAGAACCTGAAGGAGGGCAAAGCGACTGTGTCTATGTTGAAGCCCTGCAATTTGTTTTCTATTCGTTGTGCGCACGCTCAGTACGGCCAACCCGTACCTGTTCTGGTGCCTTCCTCAGGGCTGCCTGCAAGCTCTTTGTCTCAACAGAATGCTTTTGCGATAGATCATAGATCGTGCCCGTGTTCTGGTACACAAGGCCTCAAAGAATAGTTGAGCTTTTGGCTCTGCGAATTTTCAAGTTTGGACAAAGGAGGACAAGAGAAGGACAAGAGGAGAACAAGAGGAGGACAAGAGAAGGACAAGCCGGACACAGTGTCCATGGGCGCGGCCAGAGGAGGAGAAGAGATGGACAAGAGCCGGACACAGAGTTCAGGGGCGCGGCCAGCCGGTGTTGCCGCGACATAAACTGGTCCGGCGAACATGGTGGGTCACGACCCATCCCCAAGCAGGTGGCGCGAGGTGTCGCAGTTCCACATTTAGAGCAAACGAGAAAGACCAGAAAGACCACTTGTATAGTTGGCTGAATCGGGTAAATTGGGGCCCTTTCATTTACTGTATGTCTTAAGTTCAGTGACTCGGTGAACTGCAGCTAACCTTTGCAAGCAACTGGCCATCAAGCTTTGCAATCCGTGCCAAAGCTCGTCGCGGGGCCACGTGTTCGCCGCCGGTGGCATGGTTGGCCACAAAGTGCCTCCGCCGCCAGAGCCACTTCGGGGTTTGTCCTCCTCTGGCCGTCTGTTACCCAGGGCCACGCCCCTGAACACGGTGTCTCAGGTGTCTCTTGTCCCGCGCTGGCCAACGCTGTGTGCTCCTCTTGTCCTTCTCCTGTCCGTTGGCCACTCTAGCAAAAGCCTGTGTTCCTCTTGTCTTCTTAGTGCCCCTACCACCAGCGCCACACCCTGTTTTGAACTTGCGCGCAGCCAGCGCAGCACTGGCGCCAGCGCCAGCGCCGACACCCTGACTCGAAAGCGCGCAGCCAGCTCACAGTGCCGGCGTGAGGGCTGAGCACCAGCACCAGCGCCAACACGCCGTCTCGAAAGCACGCGCAGCTAGCTCATTCTCATGTGAAGTGAGAGCCTACTAGCTACCCGTGGAGAGTTTAATTCTTTGTGCTTAGGAGACCGTTGAACAGTATGACAAACGATATTCATCATGACTTATGTATATACATATATATATATATTTTATACATATACACACACGTACACACACACACATATATATATATATATGTGTATATTTTTTCAAGATTTTTACATGATGCTATGCGTTTCGCTCTGGAAGTTTAAAATGAGGTCAGCGTAGACCCCAGACAGCGCAAGATATTTGTACCACAGCTAGGTCGGAGCACCACCGGCACCCTGTTGTCCACGGCTCAGCAGTTCAGCAGCGCCTGTCAGGATGTTTGACGAATGTCGCCACACGCTCCGAGACTCTTGCCACAACTCTGAACAAGTGTGTTTTGGGATGTGGACTCGATGTTGGTTAGATGAGGGGTCCGCAAATTTAACGTACTGTAATTTAACATTTTCAGGGCGCTACATTGTCTATTTCTATGTGTTTTACTTCACGAACAGGAAAAGCTGCCAAAATGGATAGTTCTATAGTCGGCCTCTCTGTCTTTACGCAGAGCCCGTTTGATCCATATTTTGTTAGGAAAGGGCCTAGCTATATATATATATGCATATGCATGTATTTATGTGCGTAAGTTATGTAATGTAATGTAGTGTAGTGCAGTGCAATGTAATGTAATATATGTCATGTAAGGCTATGTATGTAATGTAATGTAATGTAATGTAACGTAGCGTAACGTTAACGTAATGTAATGTAATTCAAGAAAATAAGTTGTAACACTATGTAATGTATGTGTATGTGTGAGTGTATGTGTATGTATATGTATCTGAACGTGCATGTATGTATGTAGGTATGCATGTATGTATGTATGTATGTAGTGTATGTAATATAGTATAATATACTATAATACAATGCAGTGTAGTACAGCACAAAGTAATGTTCATGTAACGTAATGTAGTGTAATGTATTGTAATGTAGTGGCAAATATGCATGCATGCATGCATGTATGTATGTATGTATGTATGTAAGGTATGGCTTAGTTTGATATACGTTGTGGTTTCGTACGCATGTAAGTAGTGTGTGTATGTCATTTGTGTATGTCATTTATGTATGTATACTATCTATGGTGCATGCATGTATTTATGTGCCCTCCCAGGACTTTTTGAAGCGGAAGGACTTCTGCATCGCCGCACGCTGGACGATGGAACTGTTGGTTGTCCAGCTGAGCTCTCAGCGACTGCTCAGAGATGGCAACAGGAGCGCAGTCCGCAGTCTGACCAAACAACATGGTTGAGGGGGTCTGTTTTGATTTCTGGTGTCAACTAGTTGCAGTAGCTGATTTGTAAAAAGGGGTTTGTAAACCAAAAATGACCGTCTTCAAACCTCTAAGAAGGCTTTCCCAAATGATAGAGAGATGCATTCGACCGGTTTTCCAGGAACCTCTACGGATCAGACCCTGGTTTGAGGGGGTCTGATTGGTCGGCAGGACTCTTCCATGGGCCTATTTCATGGGATTCTATGGGAACCTGGTCTGCATTTGGTTTCTATTGGAGCCAGGCTTCGATTTCTCAGGAGTTGGCAGAAAAGAGAGGTCGAAGGGTACGAGGTCGATTTGACCATGTTTCCTCTTCACACAATCACAAGGACAGGTTCAAGGTGTGGCGAACGTTTCTGCTTGCGCTCTGCGCGGCTGGAGATCGTGCATGCCGAGTGCGCGAAATGCAGGCGAGAGTGCGATTTGTCCGGTGTGCGCGCAACCCTCTGCGGAGATCGTGCGTGTCGAGTGCGCGAAATGCAGGCACTGGCGACTTTCTAGTGCTACTTCAGTACGCGGAGCAATCTGTGGACCTGGAAGCTGAGAACTGGCGACTTTGTAGTACAACTTGAGCACGCGGAGTCTCTGGGGAGCTGGAAGATGAGAACTGGCGACTTTGTAGTACAACTTT